ATGAATTACCCTGAAGAATATGGGATAAAAATATTTAATTGTTAAACATTAATATTTGACAATAATACATAATTATTTTATTTAAGGATAGAGTTTGAGAGACAACTACAATCCTGCCGCCATCTATTTCGATGTCCCTCAAGTAATCCTAGTATTTAAAACGAAAAAGGCTGCGTATTTCTTCTCTCAATTTACCTTCAACGATCTTAACTACCCCTTTCAATTAACATGTCATGTCCGTCACCCTTTATCAACGTTCGCGTTGCATTTTGTGAACGTGCGATTGTAAATGGTTTTGTTACATTCGTCGGAAGAGATGGTTACTCATCTGTCACAAGCGCGTACGTAAGGCGATGAATCATGCAAAGTACTGTACGCAAGTATGTACGGGGAATGAACATGTGGGATTATAAATTCGGTGCCGCGGCACGAAGCACAATGACGAATGGAGGCGTTCACGGTTACGAGACCGCGGGGCGTGGGGTTTCCACACTTCATTACATATTTACGGGTTGTCAAGCTGATATCACTTCCTCCCCGGGTCGGAGATCGACCGCTCCGCGTGCCAATTGGAATACTTGATCAGTTTGTCCAAACATTCGCGTTCGGATTAATTGTGAGATTTGTCATTCGATCGCTCGTGAAACTTGCACCGCTTAATCAGGAATTCTCGACGCGTCGACAAAAGTGGAGGCGGCACGATAGAAGCCCGTGAAATAAGTAGGCCGTGAACCGGCACGTTCTTAGAATCACTTCGGACACGGTACCATTTAGGTATTTGGCTAATCGAAAACGCATTAGGCAACGGACTTCCTGAAACTCCGCCGCGTAGCTGCGCAGAACTTGAGATAACGCCGACTTGGACGTCAGTTGAAATGTATTCGCGGGATTCCGGAATTCCAAAGCGCATCAGTCAGCCAACTCGCTCGAACTCGATAACAGAATCAATTTCACCGGCAACTTGTCCAACGAGCTGACCCGCGAAACGACCGGGATAGGGGATCGTTTTAACAGGTTGATTTTATCAACGAGGCCGCGAACGCGCACACGGGGGAAAACCAGTCGGGGTTACAGGTGGTCCGACGACGTTTACAGTCTCGTTTAGATTTACAGTCGTCGCGGAGGCGAGTAAGTAGTAATACCCAACACCCCGTTCCGTTCGTTCTCTTGTTCGTTCGGCTAAGGTTTTCTGACTCGCGCGGCGCATTCTTCGGGAATAAGCGAATTATCGAATGAGAGGCAGCTCGGTTTCGAGAGGCAGCTCTCTCGCCCGTGCCGCATAACAGCCAGGATATATTAACACATAAATCGTTACTCGTTATGGTGGTCGGCGTTGCCGCGGCGAGTTCCGAAGCCAGAACTTCATCGCTAACAAGCCAACTAATGCGAGACACAACGGAGCTGCGGCTCGTCGAATAAAATAAATTCTTGGCATCCTCCGGTGTTCGTTTTCTAACGAACGTGTCTGTATCGAGGAGACATTTTCGAGAGCGGTCTAAATTAGATGGGGAAAAAGATGTAGCAAAACTCAAAATCGTTTTGCAGTTCATGATAAATATCAGCAAAGTCGATGATTATATCTTTAACAATGATACAGCTTTACAAAACAGTATATTAATAATAAATAAATATCTGATAAATCTTGAGCCAGGGTGCACGTTTCACCGATGAGAATCTCGTCTAATGATGTTTGTTATCATCCTCTTTAATATTCCGCTTCGACCTCAAACAGCAACGTTCTCCCGTGGAAAATCTAATCCTTATGTGATACGCGCAGGACTGCTTTTGCTGTTCCGTCTCCCGAATTTTCGTCGAAAGGAACACGAAACGTTCTGTCCGGAAAATCCTCTTTGGCTTTGCTCAGCTAGCCTCGGACGGAGAGAGCCGAACGGGATCTTTTTAATAGGACACGAAACTGCCTCTGTACCCGTTTTCGCGACGGGATTCAATCCGTCCACGGAAGTCGTCTATCAGCCATTCCATGGCTCGCCTCTGCTAGGAGGATTCCCGTCCCTGCCACGGAATCGATCGATCGGAACCGGACGAAGCGGACATCGCCTCCACTTTCACTCGTAGGTCAGACCGAAGGGTTAACGAGGAAAACTGTATCGCATCATGATGCGCCGCGTCGCGCCGTGTGACATTAGCATACAGACCGGTGCTATCCGGTAGAAAGTATCGGATTGTCATGCTGTCGAGTCTCTAACAAACGTTTATGGTGATTCAATTGTACAGTGAAAAGAGCAATGAAAGACGGAACTTTGTTTCTCTAATTCCATTCAAACCGACTTCCCAATCACCTGCTACGGCTTATTTAACAAGTTTCGACTTCCTTAAACGTGAGAAGATCGCAACTAATCGAATCCTCGCATCGTTCAGCGCATACCAATGATCCAGTGTCCAGATCCTGCGACACGTGGCGGACGGCCCGAATGTAGCTCGCGGTCCGATCGCGCGTACCGGG